AATTTAGCTTGAAAACCACAGCTTTGAAGCCTCATGCGCGCCATACCGGGAACAGAATTGTAGCTACCCTGGGTCCGTATAAATACTATGTTGCTATACCTCTTACACATCTATACAAGTTCAAAGCACGAATGAGACTTCAAAGCTGTGGATTGCTGTGCGTGTGTAAAGGTTATCGAGCGGTTGACGGAAAGGGAACTTGAAGTACCATACCTGGTAGCTGCACTATAGCTACACTGGGTCTCTATACCTGGCAAGGTGCCAACTACACCTTTCCATTCAGATGATTCAAATGATGCAGGTTGCATTTCTTGCATCACCACCCCTCAAAAATCACCTCCAACACAACCTCAAAAAACCTTCCCTCGACGCACCCTCCTCCCCCAGCATGTGCCGAGTTTACGTGTACCTTTCCCGGGCCACCCCCCCAGACCCCCTAACTACTCACTTCGTTCGCCAAACACAACTCCGCTAGCGCCTTCTACGAAGGCTGGCTTTCGTAACTTAGGCTTTCATAATTCCCTCGAGCTCCAGTCGTGCCTCCGAAGGGTTTTGGACCCTCTAAACATCTCTAAACCCACCCCAGTCCCACTTTCTTGGAAGGTACTTGGAGCCGTAGGGTTCAAACAATTCCTCACAAATTCAGGTGACAGAAAACACACGTAGGCCGCCGTTGCTCTACTTGGCCACGAGCTGATGACCTTGTCCACAAACTCAAAGATCCCTTCTGCCCAGCCATGAGTGATGAACAGGTTCACCTCCATCCCTTCAGGATGCTTCATGAGAGACCAACTTGCATCACCAGCTTGATGGGTCACTGGCTTGATATACTGCTCATTCACAGTGTACATCGAAGGTCCTTTGGTGAAGTCATTTGGATCAAACGGGTCCCGCTCGGTGGGTAAGATGCGCTGCTCGAGGATGGCGTTCATCACCAGCCTTCGGAACTGATGCAAGTCGTCCTTGGTCACACCCCACTTTTGCATCTCCACCATCTGGTGAAGCTTGGGTCCATCTAGTTGGCTCCGAGGATTCTCAACGAACTTGTCATCCGCAGTGAGCAGTGGTATTCTGGTGGAGGAGCTGCGAAGAAAATAGGTGCAAACACTGAAGCCAACCTTACATTTTGATCATTTTGTTGGAGGGTCGCAGAGAAGAATCACAGAAAGAATTCCAAACAATCCATATGGCTGTGGGTCAAAACCAGGATACCTTGGTTGACCTACCTGGGAGGTCAAGCTACGTGATAGACCAGGGCTCCAGGCTTTGACCCATCCCATATATTAGAATGAACATGATCTCAAGCACACCCAAGCAACTAAGCCAGCACCAAGCAGGACCCCACCAGTAACATCTTTGTGAGCAAGATCCCCGCACTGTGCGCTGGTTCCATCCCCGCCTAGTTCACATGCTTGAATGCGGCCGCATGGTTGAGTCCCCATTATAATGTGAATTGTAGCATTCCGGGCAATGAAAAGCAACAATAAGTATGTTAGGTTGGAGGCCGTCGCTAGTAGGTTGGAGGCCATCGCTAGTAGTATGTTGTTCAGGAACACAAAGATTTCCTAACAATCCTGCTGCTCGACTCCCTAAAACATGCATGTCCCATTCATGGCTTTCTTCCTATACACACATTGACCCATCTTGCATAGACTTAAGCAACTTAGAGCAAACAACATCTTGTCAATTCAAAACTATACAACCATTTTGGATCTTATATTTTGCCGGTTGGGCTGATGGTTTTGTTCTTGCATGTTCTTGCAAAAACCTCATGTCTGCCGATGATGAAGACAAAGTTTGTGTTCGCCGGCCTGAGCAACACCTAAAATGAACGTAGTCACTCCACAAATAGAACTTCGTTGTGTATGGGGTGAAGCCATCCACACAGCCGCAGGGAAACTTGATGTTTCCCGCAAAGCAAGCACCATAAGCAGAAGGACCGCCTTCAATACTTGTGTAGTTGATACACGTCTCAATAGCTCCAAGGGTAGACCCATCGGGGCAAACGTGAGCATCATCTGAGAGAACCTGCGGACTGTCTGTCGTGGATCTGGGTCTTTCGTCCATGTTTGTGTACGGAACCATCTGCAAACAGGAAATCTAAAGGCAAAACAAACGCAAAACGAATGTCACCGAACATCATCCCAGGCAACCACTGGCCAGTTGGCATACAAAAAGGAGAACCACACCAGGCATGCTGCTGCACAAGCTGCTGCACAAAACCACTGCAAGCATCGCCCAAGCTGTGTCACAGCCATGGTAGGTGCGACGTGAAGCGAGGAATCTGTGGATTCAGATCAGTGGCTGACATTGATTTTATTCAAGAGCCCGGCTCAAAAAGGTATGTTGAAAGAACAGCCACTGTATTGAACCGTGGTGGTGACAAAGATTCAGATGATTAAGGCTGAGCTTGGGTTCCTCTACCACCGCATCTTCCGGTTTTGTTGCTGTGCTCCTAAGATCTCCCAAAGCCAACGCTTCCAGGCTTGCGTGCATGTTTTTTTTTTTTTTAAAGAGGTGGCGGTATGACCGATTGGACCAAGACATGTCTGCCATTTTAAGCAAGTTCAGGCGAAAAACCCAGCAACGCCACATCAACATCTGTGTGGGACATGGCCCCTCCGCCCCACATGTGACCAACTTGATCCAACTTGCATCGCATCTTGGACCTTCGCCCGTCCGACCGGGGTAGTCCCCCGTCCGTCCCACTGGGGGACGTCCGAATGCTCCGCAGGAAACCACGTACGTAAGTGGCCACAAACTGCCGCTTTCCTCGGTGACTGCCTTGGTGGGGCCATAACCTCTGCTGGAAAGGAGTGAACCGGAACAGGAAGGACGTAAGGGGTTTCCAAAATGGTTTGGAGGGTCCCAGTCGGTTTTCTTTTGGCCCTTAGGGTAGGTCACTGCTACAATAAAGCTCTGATTAGCTCTTGACAACCCAAAGTCCAACCTCAATCCACACAAATGTCGCCAGGTGGGTCATCGTCAAATGACAAGCCGGAAGGGAACGAGCCAGTGACAAGCAATGATTCTCCGACGATCACATCACATGGAAGTGGAGCACCCCAAATTTCGTAGAAGAACATGGTGTTAAACAAAAGCCCATGCTCCACTCCCATGTTTGTGAGTCGGAGTGTACACAAACAATTTCAGCTTCAGATGAAGGACACATGAGATCACATATCACATATGATCACCACATGTGTTTGCAAGCGACTACTAAGGTGAGCTACTACACGAACGGAGCCCGTGCTATCGCCTATTTAGCTGCACTTCTACAAGAAGTCACTCTGCATGTAGCGGCCACACCTGCCTTCCTTCCGAGCCATTTGGTGTCGCACCGAGTGTCCAACGATTGACCTTCTTCCCTGATTTAATTTGAGACCACAAGGCCCGCAAAGACCGCTATTATCGAGCACAGCGGATCATTACACATATTCATACATATAACAATTTGTGAAATGCTTGATTCACTAATCATATCAAACATATACAAACATATTGTATAAAATCTATATATTATACACATTTAAATTCCATCTTTTTTCAACAATTTTCCCATCCCTTCAATTCAATCAGGTTCTGTTCGCGCACCTGATCGGAATCGCTGTCAAACATTCCGCTCAGTGGGTAATATAAGTCGTTGACAAAACTGCCTATTAATCTGAAATAGGGGCACAAGTATGCACAAGTGAAGCTTATTCTGATCCACATGATAGCTGCGTGTACAAGAAACGTCTGAACAAAGGTGAACAGGATATGCCCAAACGCTCCGTTCACAGGCCGACAGGTCCCTCCGAACCGGATTTGAGGGTCTGGACTTCTCCGTCTACTTCGCAGGGTGGATGAGCTCGTCTGGATGCATTCACTCGTCGATTTGGAAGGGTGCAAACCTTGGGAGAACCCGGTGGCAAGTAGGGATGACAAGCTCCCAACACCATTCTCTAGCATTCCAACTGCCATTCATTTACAAAGGACTTTACACCGCAAAACCAGCTGAACCGTTTTTGTTGCGGTCTTGGGAAGGCTAGGGCATCCATAGATTGTCTTCTGAACGAAACAGCTCCCTCTCAACATTCCAAACATCCACCATCGCACAATGTGCCTGCCTTTGCCCTGCAAATCGGGCACTCGAGCTTCTCCCGCAGCCAATCCCGCCAACAGGCCTCCAAGATATGACTGCATTTGGCTGGGATAAGTGTGAAAACATGTGAAACCTTGATCCTTTTCATGCTTTTTCATGGGCAAACATTTGCGGTTGCGATATTTTCTCAACGTTTTTCAGATCTGTTGACACCGCCCAAACAACGATCTACCTTTTACACCGCACCCTATTTTACACCGTCTAGCATGGAGCGTCGGGTGGTCGTCGGCATGGGCGACTCGCTGCTCGCACCTTGCACGCAAAGTGGCCGCACAGCGCGGACACCTCCGGCCTCGGCGGCAGGACGTTCGCGCCGCACACGGCGGTGTCGACGTCGACATGGGAGGTGGGGCTGTCGCAGAGGTCCATGCCGCCTTTTCGGAGAAGTGAAGCAAAACCCTGCGACGACTATGTAGAGACACTCCATCATCTCAGACTCAACCTGAATACCTGAGAGCCCAGATGTGCACAGCATTCCTTCGACCAAACTGCGATGGCTGGACCAATTGACTGGGGGTGGCGAAGAACCCACGCAGGTCGAGTCGGAGGGGTCGACTGGCGGACGAGACCCGGAGTTGGACTTCGAAGCACACTCGGACCAACAAGTGGATGGCATAAGCCACTGGAAGACCATTTTGCTCTTATGAACAGGGGGTACCATCCACTTCCATGTTAATTTGTGAGTGGGAGAGTAATTGTAATCTTGATGGTTGATTCTCGACCTCCCCCCCAAAGTGGTGGAGAATCGTCTTGAGATTTGAGATCTATTGAGAATATCTGATAGACCTTCCAGGTACGTGGTTTCTATATCAACATCCCCCTTCAAATACCCATGGAGACGATGGAATTCCATTTTGTAGCAATGATTTGCGGGGGGCAGAGTTTGGCAATATAAAATGCAAAGAGCCCGAGAACACTCACTATAGAATGCAATGGCTTAAGAAAAATTGATCATCGAAAGAGAAAGGGAAACGTGCACTACAAAATGGAGGGTCTAACCTAAGGCTTTCCAAAATTGGTAGACTATAAACCCTGGTCTTGCATTTTGTGGTGCACTCACTGGTGACTGCCAAAATTGACAACCAAAGGATGGGCACCGTCATTCTATTTGATAATCTTGATCTCATGTTGCGCCCTCTGAGCCCAAATGGGTCTAACCATGTCCAACCAGTTTTACAAAATCTCACATGATGTTACCAACATCAGGTTACTACAAAATGCTTTTTTACTCAAGTGGCCTCACTACAAAATGACTGACCTACTCCCCAGGGTGCTTCGAACATGTGACAAAATTTTCTGGTACAAAATGCCGGTGGCCGAGACTCTATGTATACATTCCCCGGGCATTAACCATAACAGGTCTACAAATTGAAAGGCCCCATCCCCTCCCAGGTACCTAAAATCCAGATTTAATCAGATTTATACTGGCCATCCATTCTGTAGTGGATATTCTAAAGGGGATATATATATATATTATCAACATATATCAATAGTCCACATGGGATCACCTCCTCGACACGCACCGAGAACTCCATCTCCTCTCCGACTCGAAATGCCGCACCTCTGGGCCTCGAAGTGACAAATGGTGCACAGCTTGGGTGCGCCACTCGCCTGCGGTGAATCGCAATGATGTGATCGCAACGCGTGACCGACCAGCGGATGAGAGGTTTCGTTTTTGGTCATGGTTTCTTCCACAGGAGCGAAGAGAGTGAAAAACACCTGCCCACCCCCCGTTTCTGTCCATTTCCAGGACCTGGGGAGTTGTTGTACTGAGCAAACCCGAGGATTAGAGTGAGTCAACCCACTGACCCACTGGCTTTGACACCTCTCAAGAACACCACCCTCATGTTGTTCGCCCCACGGCCGCCAAGAAAGGCCTATTTCTCAGCCTTTTCGTTCGGACGACGTCGTATTCAGACCACCCATGAGGCCCAACAGCATGGCGACGGCGACCGGCGACGGCTTCGTCTTTTTCCTTCGACGCCACGGCAGCGCTTCGTGCCACGACACGCTGCCGTCGGGGCGGTTCCTCCTGAGGAAGACAGAGACCGGGGGTCGGTTTCCCGCTGTGGCCGCGACCTGGTGTCTTCTGTTGGGAGGCCTTTTTTCATCATGAAAAGACACAATTCTGGAGATATCTTGATATTGCCTAAGATACTTGAAGGGAACTCTGCTCTGCTATCGATTTGGAGGCCATGGGGGCAACGAAAGAACTCTCATTTATGGAGGTCACCTTGGATGTCTTCCATCAGCGAACCGCTTCCAGAAGGGCCAACAACTTGGGGCCCTCTTGGGGCGGTTCTGAGTCAACCATGCTGAAGATCGAACATCTGCATTGCCAAACCCCAACTCGTCTGATGTGAGGTCTTCCGATCGGTCCGACCGTCGGCACCGAGCGGAGCGGAGCGGAAGCAGCGTCCGCCCTGGACGAGTCCGCGGAAGGGACGAGTCCGGGACGTCGGGCCGGCTCCTCATTCAATGGGCGACTGGGGACCGCTGATGTCAATGATTCGCCATTGAGACACCTGGAACTCGAACACGAAGGGCGAGGTGATTGGGCCCCAAAGAACGTGTTTGTTGTTGCTGGTCACAGTCACAGTGCAGCCATTTTGAAGCTTCACCCACAAACATGGACACAAAATTGGCCTCCAAAGGATCTTCCCAACTTGCCCTCCCGTTCTTAGCTGGGCTTTTATATATATATATATATATGTATAATTACATCTTTCATGCCCAAGCGTGACGCCAAGGCTCTCCTTCCTTCTCATCAAAAGGCGATTCGAAAATGAGATCATCAATGCTGTGCCGCTCCTGAAGGCTCCACACCCCATGGAGAAGGTCTCAAGGTCCCGGCCAGATCCCGCCCCGCTGGTCCGAATGAGTGTTTCTTGTAGGTCCTATGAACCAAAACCCGGATCCGCCGGACCTCGGCGGATTCTGTTGCTCCTCACCAACCGATCCTTGGCGATCCTAGTTCGGAAGATGGATCGCACTGCACTCCATCGGATCGCCCCGATCTCGTGTAGCCACCACGTGCGAGCTCGACATGCCCCCCTGGCTCGACAGATCCGTCGCCGACGGGCTCGCCACGGCGCTGCGCTCTGACGTGCGAGCCACGCGAGAGTTGACCGAAGAACCCCTTAGGTTCTTAGGGATTTGGGTCGACGCAGACTCAGGAACCATTGCTTTTTGTTTTGGGTCGACCAGGAAGGCTAGGGGGATTGTGACTGCACACACTGAGCACCCTCATGAAACCAGTATAAGTACAATATAGTACAATATCCCTAGAAGTCCAAAGTCTATTTTTTGCGACCACCGAAGTAAAGGAAATTGCCTTTTCAAGCCACCTAGTCAGACCATTCGTTTTATATTTGATAGTCTTTCACTCCAGGTGGCCGGGGATATACAGTACTCTGAATCTCTGAAGTATATACCAGGGGCCCCACATGGCCCATCCAAAAACCTGGTTTTCCCACATGGTTTCTGTATCTGAAAACCTTTTTTTTTTTCATGGTTTGGTTCGGGCCCCTGGTAGTGTAACCTCTCTTAGCCCAAGAACATCCCACAGGCATCCAAACACAGCACTCCACCTTTAATTACTCGAAAACACAGCACTCGAAATCTCTCGACCGACTCGTCTCCTCCGGCGCGAAGGACAAGCTCATCACTGAGAAGAGCCGTGCTCCGGCCACGACGCTGCCCGTCGAAAACGTCGAATCTGCGGAGTCCTGGTGAGTGCTGTGGCGGATCCAGTCCCTCCAAACACGCACTACGACCGTCATGAGCATCCGACCATCTGGGGTGTCCTTGGGAGATCGCCAAGTAGTAGTGGGCTGGGTAGTCCTGGACACCCAGACAGGATGGTCCTGGTACAGTATATTGGATTGAGAGTAGATGGCACCTGCTGCTTATTTTAGGAGGTTCTGTTTTGGACCCCCATCTGTCCGATAGACCTCTTGGGGTGCCAGTGCCATCGAACCCCTGAAACTACAGCATCTCCTTTGCCCCCTGTCTTACCTTCACATTTTGCCACCGAAAAAAGATGCCCGAGATCTCGGCTCTGTTCGCGGTTTGGAACCTTCGATTTCGCTGCGGTCAGGCGCCCGTCTCCTGCGTCTTTGGCTCTGGACTCTCCTTATAACTGGGCGGTTGCAGTGTGAAGATAAAGGCCTGGCATCTGGCGCTTTTTGGGCATGCGGCCATATTTGTGGCCGTGTGCAAACGATGAGGAAGGCACTTTTTGGGCAGGTTGGGTCATCGATTATGGACACTTGGGCAAGATACAACACATAACTCACATAGCAATACTACTTGCATATAGTATCACATATGTTTATATGTTGCTTTTGAGGACTTGGTGCTTGAACATCCATGTGATGGGTCATCAGCCTACTCAAACCAGGTCTGTCTATGTCTTTGTTTTTTGATGCTGGACTGTTGTTTGGAGCAAGGCATCCCATGGTCTCCAAACCCTTGATGCACCGGACCGGTCATAGGTGCCATAACATAGCACCTGGCTGGTGAACTGAACTCTTTCGAAGTATGAAAAGAGCAAGGAAACACCATGAACCAGCAGTTCCAAAGGAGTGGCTATTAGTTCCCAAGTGAGTGGATGATGGGCATCCCAACATGCTCCATGGATAGCACCTCGACATGGACTGCTGGACGTTTGTGTGCTTTCTTTTCCTGCAAGTTTTCTACTCTTAGCGCACTTGTGGTGCAAAAGAACTTCTCCATCCAAACCGTAGAGAAGGTTTTACCAATTTTATTAGAATCTTTTGGATGGCGGCTTTCTTCCTTTTCCAAGCACCAAACGGAGGGGGGCTTGGAACACTTACAAATCACTTCACAGGCATCCCCAAACAATCCCCCAAAACCAGGTCAAAGAATATCAAAGAACCAGTTCCAAAGGCCAGGGGTGGTTTTGAGTCAGCCACACACTCCGCCATTCAACGCACTCCTCGGATGCTTTGTCTGCTGGGATCTCTTTTCATTCTTTCCTCCAAGGAAAAAAACACCACCATCTCCCCATCTCCCCTGTTGGTATCTCTCCTCTTTCCATGCACCTTCTCCACCCACCGATGCCTGGGTGGAGATCCAATCGATCTTGCAGTTCTCCTTCCCGAAGCGCCTCCGCCACGGCTCAAAGTCCCCGTGCGCCGAGCGGACGATGGGCCACAGCTCCTGGGACGTGGTGAGTAGACGATAAACCACCGGGTTTCCCGGGGTGGACTGGAAGTGAGGTGGAACGGAAGTGGGTGACCTGGGCGAATGGATGCGAATGGGCGAAATGGCCAGGTCCATTCCGGGGTTTCCTGGAGTGATGGGATGGAAAAGACGTCCATTCCGGGGTCCATTCCGGGGGTTCTGGTGGTTGGACACAAAGCAATTGTTTTTTTTTCGGATAGTTTTCGCGCAGGATGGGAATATATAACCCTGGCTGTGAAGGCACCACTATGTGTGGGAAAAAGCACTGCAGCTGGTGAGTTTCACCTGCTGTGAAGATCGAAAAGACCAGGTATACGCCTGAAAACCACACAACCAGAAACACATTTCATGCTTCTCCAGTCCCAGCCATTTCCTATGTAACGGAACTCAAGATAGCGCCATATTGGAAGAAGGAGAACTGTTCCAGGATGTTCCAAGGTTGGATCTCTTGGGGAACTGCTCACCTATTTACTACTGCACACAAAATCCCAGTGGTTCTGCCTGGTTCCCCACATCTGCCGGCCCAATCACTTGGTTCCGTGCTTCGGCCATGGCTTTTCAAGGAGTTACGATTTCGCGAGCCTGCACCCGAGTGATGCCTCGATGCAGCTCGCCACATCCATGCTTCATGTCACTCACGGCTCGCAGTCCCTCCGGTCTCCGACCCCCGCGGTCCCGTCGGTCTCCCTGACCCCCCCCCCCCGGTGCTTCGGAGAAGAGATCTTCCAAATGACCTGGACCACGGCGGTGCGGAGGTGCCGGCGAAAGCCGCGGCCAAGCATGCTGAAAGGTCCGGACCATCATGAAGAAGGGTCACGTTTTTTTTGGGGGGGGCATGAGTCCTGGACAAGGCCATGATTCGCCTGAATTCCTCCCTGAAGTGTCAAACTCCCCAAGCAGCACCTTCCCAACTTCTCATGACCTGAACAAATACCTCAAGCAGCAAACAATTTTGAAAACCGTTCAGCCAAGCTCACATCGCAAAAGACGTGCCTATGTGATCTGCAGCCATCAGCTCTTGCTGCAGATATCGGTAGATGTCTGTCGCTGATGAGAGGAACTCATCACATTCCTCAGGGCATGGCTTCATGTGGCAGTGCTCTTTTGCTCTTGCTCCAGTCTAGAACGAACAAATGAAAAAGAACTCAATTGGCTGTGGGTTGACACTGGGACACCCTGGTCCACCACGAAATATGCACACAATAGACGACCAGGAACGCCAATCTACCACGGTGAAACGGGCTCCGGGGTTTACAGCCATTTTTGGCTTGCGCCAATGAGAATAGACATGAAAAGACAGGGAACAACCCTCACAATCAGTATCGCAGAAATCTACCAGGACCCTCCAAGGGGTGTCTATTTATAGCCCCTGAGCTGTTAAGGGGTGTTCACTAACCACTCCTTGGTGGTGCTGGTATGTTTATATTCTTTTTTGTTTTTGGATTACCAACCTCTAATAGTCAACCACTGACCGGGTTAGCCACTGACACTGTCAACACCCAGCATGTTCGAAGAAGAACCCCCCATAAAAACTCCATCAGACAAGCTCAGAGTCTGGACCCGCTTCTGGAGTGAAATGGGCTGCAGTAGCAGTGAAATGGGTCGCCTTTGAGTTTCTAACGGCTCAAAAAGCATGGACCACTTCGGCGTGTTGGATGAAGATTTGTGAACATGTGTGAACATGGCAAACACTCCATTCCCAAACACTCCATGGGACATATCCATTATATATTTATTATATATAGCCATATAATATATAAATATATAGATATATAGCCACATGCGCCGATCAAAATTGCTTGGTCTCTGGGGTCCATGGCATATTTCGGCATCTATTCCCATAGAAAGAGATAACATACATCACCTATCGAAAGAGAAAACACTGCACGCAGGGCCGAGCTGAGACGACTTCTTCTCATTGCTACTTAACCTCTGTGCTAGTACTGCTAGTACCAGTAGCTTCTCTTGCGATTCTGTCAGAATCAGTGACTCGACTCGACCTCCCCAGCTGCCAGGAGCGACTTCGGATGTTCAACCCAGCAGTAGCCGCAGCCCCGTGAGTGAACCGGTCGGTCCGGGGTTCTGGGAACTTCTCGGAGCTACCAATCCGCTGTTGGATGAGACCCCAGCAGTAGCGCCAAATGGGATCCTTAAGAACCTGCGCGAAGACACTCAGACATTCGTGGTGGACCACAAGCTCTGTGGTCGCCAGACGCGACCCGAACTCGGCCCCGTTCGTCCTCTTCAGGGATCCCCGAAGCCTCTGGAGGGGTCTTGGGGCCCGAACCAGTCCCTAAGGTTTGGTTCGGGACCGGGTCGGGGGTCGGTGTGTTACACGAGCGTCTGGGAGTCCACGGTTTGATAACATGGGACGGTCTGACGTTGCGGGTCAAGAACGTTCTGTCTGACGTTGCGGGTTGTACCAAATTGATATGAACTTCCGAAAAGAAGCTTGGCATCGAAGGGTCGGTCAGACCGCTCCCATGAGATTGCCCTATTTGAGGAGACATCCTCCAAGAATCCTCAAATGACACATGTTTCCAATTTGCGAGAGCCGAGCCGAACTCGTCTGTGGCAGCATCGCACTCTACATCTGTGACAGGTCCTCAGCCGCACCAACATCGGGTCCCCAATTGGTTGCAAACCCGACCCCAGCTGCTCCGGATTCTGACGGCAGGTCCGGACGACCGAGGGTGTCGCGACCGAGGGTGTCGCGCCTCCACCGAATGCCGTGTGTGCCAGCTGAACTTTCGCAGCATTTGGCATGTGAGAGAAGTGACACTTCCGGTGAAACCACGGTCAGAACACTGCGTGCGTGTGCGTGCTTCCTTTTTTTAACGTTTTTTTTCCTGTATTTTTAATATAGGGCATAGGGTTCGATGGCACCTACACCCCAAGATGTCTTTTAGATGGGGGTCCAAACAAACCACCGACATTGGGATCTACTGTGACATCCTGCGACTTACAGATGTAATTTTGTCTCAACATCTGTGACCTCACATGATCCTCTGGTCTCTGTTTTTTTTGGGCTCATAAAGGGTTCCAAGCGACATCCGACATGTCTCTGCCCCTTGACACTGACCTTCTGCGGTTCGGCGGCTGCACAAACATGGACTCTAGATGTTTCGCGTCCAAACCGCAGAAAAGACTCCCCGGCACTTCCGTAAAGGATCTCAGTTCTCAATTATATTGGCTTCCAACATGTTCCAACCATTCTGGTTGGGACTGGATTTCAGGTGGATAAATCAACTTTGTCGTCATCCTATTCCAGGTAACTTCCACGTCTTGTTTTCAAGTGACTTGTGGTCACTGTGAGCCTCATACACGCCATGTTGTTCTTCAAAGTCACCGTCCTTGATTTCCCGGTTTGAGGTCACGATAAGGTCGGTTGATGGATGGGACTTCAAAAAGGTCACGAACTGAAGAAACTGGACTCTGCATGACTCTGCAAAAAAGAATGTGTGTGTGTGTGAGAGATAGGGAGACCCCATCCCGCCCTGGTTGGTAAGGAAAACCAGACCAGTCTACCCAGCCAGGGCCAGGGGTCTTCCAAAAAAAAGATACACACCAATATTTTGGGTTGTTATAGTCAAAGGACCAGTTGCAAACTTTTTTTATTGATTTACCCGACCCGCTGTCATGTAATGGTTCACACATCTTTCCTTTTTATTGATTTACCTACACCTTGCAGAGTTTGTGTCTTGGGACGGGAGTGGGAATGGCCTGGTCCTCACTGTTTGAGCGGCTCAGAAGTTGAGCAGTCTGTTGAAACCCCAAATACCTGACAGGTGGTCATCCTGTCTATTCCTGTCTTCTTATTGCCTGGAACTTTGACCTAGTGTTGGTCACACATCCCATCAATCTAGGGTCCTCTTCCACACGGGGCCCGGTCGTTCATGACGCTAACGTCAAAAAATACCGGAGAATGTCACAGCCTGTTGAACGGAGAACGTTTAACCTCCGATTTACTCACGCCAAACGGAGCCTGACTGCTTCACACCTGGTGGCACCGCTGACAGCTTCCCGCACACCCGGAGCCTGTGGAGTCCGATCGGTCCGCTGTTTTCGCACGCCTCACGGTCGACGGCGGAGCAGTCTCAGAGTCTCAGAGTCTCAGTCACAGCTCTCGTCTCAGTTCTCGTCAGTGCACTTGGGTCTTTACAACGGCCAAATCCCCATCCTTTAGCCTTCCCAATGCCCTGGAGGAATTTCACTCATGGCCCCCTCGACCCTCGACCCTCCGACCCTCTTTCTCCTCCATCGGCGACCCCGCTGGATGAAGCCCCTCGGGGGGTGGCGCTACCGCACCTCCTTCAGAGGTGTTCTTCAGGTGCCCCGAACAACGGTCCCTCGGGCCCTCCAAGGGGCCCGAAAGTCTCTGGTGTTCGTTGGGGTCCATGGTGTTCGTTCCCCTCCAGCTGGGGTCCTGTGCCCGAAAACGGCCGTGAATTCAGACACCTATTTTCGTGCCGCGAGTTGTTGTTTTTCGTAACACTGATATCAATGGTCATACCTTGTTTTTTTGTGTGGTCGTCTTGCTCGTTTCCCAGTCATAAGCTAGCGCGCGCCAAGTGAACCTCAGCCGGACTGTCTTCCATGAGTATGGTAGTATATGCATCTTTTCCTGCATCCTTCTAGTAACAAGTGCATCGCTTCCAGTAACAAGTGCCTTACTACTAGTAACAAGAAGCTACTAGGAACAAGTGCCACGCTACTAGTAACAAGTACAAGTGCCTTCAACCCCTTGCGCCCATGCGGCGCTTCAGCGTCCGCATGGCGCTTTTACCATTTGGACCGTGCACTGCCGGGGAGTCTGCGCTATGCGCGCGGAGCTGCGCAGCACACGAGCCGAGCGGCCAAAATACTGGTACATCTAATTACCATCATGTTGAACAAGAACATGGTCTCATAAGCTCTTGGACATGGTCTCATAACTCCTATTTCTCGTGTTGCCATTTTGATCCATTTTGTATCAACTCCTTAGCACCGACGGCATCTGGCCAGTTCAGGTGATCTGAAATCAACGACCTCCCGGAATCACCGGAAAGACACGAAAGACACGACCCTCCAGAACTCTGAACTACCCAGCCCACTACTGTCTCCAGTCAGCGCCCAGAACAAAGACTCCTAGATTTCGAGTAAGTTTGATAGGAGGTCGGTCAAATGCTCGGACTGTGACGCCGATGCTCGTCACATGTGACACCCATGTGCTCGGAATGTGCGTCATGTTCGTCTCGATCGTCGGCCCACATCGTCCCATTTGCTTCGTCCCATGCTTCGCTGTTCTCCACTTATATATGGTGGAATGTGGCAAAGTCTACCAGGACTCGACACCGTGGGGTGCCCTGTCTGGAAGCCAAGCTAGGATCCGTGTGGGGTAGTCCAGCCAGGAAAACCTCCTTATTGGAGGGTCCAGGTCCCAGGTAGACTTTGCACTTTGCACTTTAGAAGGTTCGCACCTCAAGACGTGGACCTTTTTGAGAGGCACGTGCCTGTTTTCAGCCGCGCCTCGGGTGTCGTCCTCGGGCTCGTCTGGAGCGAGGCGCTTGCAGAAGACCTTCGGGCGGTGCGTACCGGGGGGGGTTCATCGAGGCGCGAGTGCTGCAGAGTTTGAGACTACATAATCTAATATATCAGGCGGGACGATTAGCAGGGAAGAGGTAGGAGCAGGGAAGAGGTAGGAATTCTGTATGTTTTTGATCAACATCATTTTGCATGACAGTCAGTATATGCCAGTATATTATACCCCCCACAATCCATTCATATGGAATATTTACCTACATCGACCTCGTTTCAACCACCCCAACTGATCGGCCAATATTCCATACATTCGCGAGGCACAGCACATCACAGCGCCAAGTATACATGCCTCACAACTCGCAGATGAAGCAACCTTATGCTTCTCAGGTTTTGCCTCACCCGCCCACTTCGTCACCGAATTGAGAAGACCGTTGCTTCAGTTCGTGACCGTCCTTGATATCCTAGTTGCTTCGGTCACGTCGTTGGGCCTCCCCCCGATTCGACGGCCGTAGCTTAGGCGCCGAAGGAATCAGGACGACCATCGTGCTCCGTCGCCCGTTCTCCCAAGGGTCCGGACGTCCAGACCGGAGAGCCGCTCCGGAGTCCTCCATGTACCTGGACCCTCTGACCCTGTTTGGGTGTCCTGGCTGGACTACCCCACACGGATCCGGCCTTGGCTTCCAGACAGGGCACCCCGACAGGTGTCGGGTCCTGGTAGACTCTGGTAGACTCTTATTTTTTTAACCCCCCCATATGAAGATCGGTTTTCCAATCGATATGGGGGCAGCCCACTAAGAGCGAGAGAACCACAAGTGAAAGCGCATTTGGGATGGGGCAGAGTTGATTCATCAAGAGTTTGCATTAGTCATTAAGGGTGTTTGTCATGTGATTCCCAATTCGTCGCAGGCTTCAGGCTTCAATCCAAAGGACTCCTGCCTCGGCACCCCGCAGCACTCTCCTCTCCCCCCGGGCTGAGTTTCGCGACGGCACTGCGTTGGAGTAGCCCCAAGGTTTCAGTACCTGGAGCAACCACGGGCCACTTCGAGAGATCTGCGATCGACCCTAAGACGGACCCTAGAGAATCCGAGTTCGAACCCCCCGGTTCCCAAACCCTTTTGTGTTGGGCCCTCGGGCCCGGATTCGATCCGATGGAGAGCGTGTTCGGGCGTGTGATCCTGATCGATCCGAGAGCAAACGGCCAACGGACTCTCTCGATGCTCCAAGTTCCCAGCCACAAAAGGGAGTCGGGTTGTTGCCATGCCTATAGCCTGGGAGCCTGGGGAGGTCTTCCTATTTGATTTACACACCCAAATTCACTGTGAAGTCTCAGAACGACGTCCGGACACTCAGTGACGTCTGGCTCACTGTCGGCGCAACTCCAGCGAGCCATGTCGTAAGAGATCCAACGGCAGGACTGGAAGAGGTACTTCATGGAGACTTACACCCTACAAGTCAGTTTGACCTCATGAAACTGGAGATGGTCATACAAAACCAATACTTAAGGAGGTAAAAAACCAGGTTTTACTGGGTCAGACTGCACTTGTAGGGACAGTTACAGTATACTGTATATATATATATACATACATACTATACCTATAGCACTTCCAATGGGCGCCCTGTCTGGAGACCTATTTACCTAGGGTAGGGTTGTCCAGCCAGGTGACCTAAGGAAGCAGCTTGGTATAAGGGTCAGCAATGGAGGTGTACTGGACCCGCCCTGTAGAGCTCCATCGGTGGCTCCGTCGTTCCGTCCGACGCTGGTCTTTTGGGATCCGCTCAGCATGCTCGTTCCGGTGCTGCCCAGCGCTCGCCGCTGCTCGGCATCTTGAGCATCTAAGGTCTGCAGCTGCATGTTGATGAGCATCGAGATCTCGGTCCGGCAGTGAGTTCAGGTCTGCGATCGAGCTGGGTGGTTCATGGTGGTGCCATGCATCCCTTGATCTGTGCAGGTTGAGCTTGTATTGGAGTCATAATGGAGCTTGTTCCTTTTTTTTTCCTGGGGGGTCAAATGATACCGCAGTCAAGGTGCTGTATCAGTAGTACAGGCTGTTTTGTCACCATCCATGATACAGCGGCTTTTTGTACTCTCAACCTGCAGCCAACCTAAGAGCGATGGCCTCCACCGGCATGCGATGGCCTCCAACCCAAAAACATCTCAACCTCCCTAAGCATCCACCGGGCTTTCGAAATGTCGAACCGTCGGTCGAAGCGATCTTCGCGGCCCCAAAACTCGTCTGCGAATAGTCTGAAAAACACCGAGAAGAACACACGGATTCCAAGCATTTCATAGATTTCATAGGCTGAATCCGGAAGAACCAAGCTGTTTTACTAGGGATCTCGCACGGCAAAACCAGGTCAACAATCTTTTCGTGGTCTTGGAAGGCTAGGGTACATGTTTCCACAAAGCTTGGTCACGTAGAAGGAACGTTCTCACTGAATGGGATGAACATGAAGTACACAGCTTCATCTGAGCCGCATGTGTAAGATCTGCCAGGCCCTGTTCGGTGGCATCTGCGACCAACGGTGCTGCCTGTGTCAGTAAAGCCCGGGCCATCGCGCGTCTGTGAGCAGCTGCCTTGATGCAATTCGCTCGACCGGATGCAAGACCTGACCTGTCGTCCACAGTTCGGCCCTCCCAAACGGATCTACCAATGGGAGTGCATTGGAGTGGAGTCCTTCCAGTATGTACCTGTTGGGCCAGGGGATTCTCTCCCTATTGAAACACACGCCCAAAATGATTAAACATTAAGGCACATTAACACATATTAAGTAAAACCATATTAAAACCAATCTGTCTTTCACATCCTTTCGCACCAACTCCGCGTCCCTTCCCGGTCATTCACTGTCCAACTCCGCACCTGGCGTTCGGCTGGGTCGCCTTGGGCCATGCTGCAAAGCACCATGGCACGTGCCATGCGTTCGTACAACACGCCCGCGTTGCCGTCCCGGTCCATCTCCTCGCAGCGGAGCGCAGCGGGAGCAGCGGACGGATGGTTTGGATCGGACGGATACCTGGACTCAGTGGTCGCTCCAAGGAAAGGTCCAACAAAGATCCCTTGAAGCCAAGGCGAGAGTTCATCGGGAGTTTGGATGATGAAACAATGGGAATTTGCAAATGGCCAGAGGCCGCCAGAGGCATCAAAGTAGAAAGCACCTTCTCCTCAAAGAATTAGAGGCAGTGTCAGTGAGTAACAAATTTGCCATGCTACAAAATTATTTATTGAATTAACATGATACAAACATTCCACACCGAAATGCCCTGCACCACACCGCAGATTTCAAGCCGCACCGCTGCAACAAGACGCTCCAAGCTCGGAAAGCCACACGGAAAGCGAACCTACACCCTGGAGTCCAGTTAGTCCTAGAGGTCCAGTTAGTCCGGTGGTTCTCTTTTTTTTGGCCACCGAAGGTGTTCAGGACCTTCCAAAATCGGGAAAAAAATGCAACGCCGAATTGGTCTTTCCTGGTCCATTCACTCCCTGAGGTCCATCTATCGGGCACGAACAAAGGCCAAGTCCCTCACCGAACCCCAAGTCCCTGTACCGGTGAGGGGGTGGCGCGCGACCCGGTGACCCCGGTTTCCCCCCCGGTGCACCGCGCCCGGAAATGGAGATTCCGCACCGCAGCGGCGATGGGCACTTGAAGCTTCGCCAAGCGCGACAAGTTCTCCTGGGGTCACGCTACGAACGGGGCTCCTGCAGTCGGTGACATCTCAGTCGACCCAAAGGACCGGACGATCGACCCAGTGGGCTTGGGAAAGGCACCCACCTCTCGTGGTGAGAGGAAAGGCATTGAATGCAACGACCCGTCGTTCCAGGGCTCCGATGCTTTTTGACTGTAGTAGCTGGATGCAGCTGGGGGATTTCCGGATTCGATCGACCTGGCAGCTGTCTCTCTGCAGGTCCTTCTCCAAAGGCATTTCCTCGAGCCTCGCGGGGCTCGAATGGGGGCGTCGCCTGTTGGCCTTGGGATCCGTTGTCGTACTTTCTCAGGTAAGCTACGACTGGACCCGACCCTGGCAGCTACAATCACAGTGTATCCGTCCTCACCGTACCTGACCAGGTACGAGCACTTTTTCAGGGTTTGGATGTTCTATGCTTCGGAGCTCATTCATCAGTGACCCTCCTTAAAAGGTGCCTTGGACAGAGTCTCCAGTTAGGTCACGGACGGTTCAGGTCCCGGTGCTTTGGCAATTGGAGTTTATCAGTGACACTCCGATCAACACATGGGTTGCGTGGATGGCCATAGCCATTGGGCATGCGGCATACAGGTGGTGCCACCAACGTAACAATGCAATGTGTTTGTCGGAGTGTAGAAGTTCTGTGCATGGTACAACATCTTTTTTATGCGACCCTGGACCCCAAATAGGGGCTGGACCCGGATCCTCTGAAAGGGTCTCAAGATGTCTCAAATCCCTAGGTGTTGAGAGACTGGTCGGGCTGTGAACGGAGTGTTTGTTTTGAGTCACGAAGTATGACCAATGATCAGCGCATGTGGATGGGTTCTTGGGGAGAGTGCCATGACGTCCAAAACCATGGACCGGCACCCAAACCCAGCATCGCATGGGGCTTCCATACCATCCACAAGTCGTCAAAAGATGTCCAGAAGCTTCCGGGAAAGTCACGGGAAAGTCACTTTAGTCTAAGGAGATCACTTTTGCAGACATGGCGGAATCCTTTTTGTGCCAGGGAGACCTGCTGCTACCAAGAAGTTCCATCAGAATTACCTGGTATGAAGAGGTACCAGCAAAAAATGGCACTACCTGTACCTGAACCTTTAGTAAAACAGCTCGGTTGTTTGGTCAACACCATTATGGACCATTATTTTGCAGCAAATTCTAACAATGCTTGGGCCATGTTGGGCAGGAATCCCAGGGACTAGGTGTTACCCTAAGAATCCAGGTCCGCTTCGCAAAACATCGGGTGTTAACCACCGGAGCCCCACGGACGGTTAACCCTTAGAGGGTTTCGCGTTTCTTTCGGTCGGGCCCGCCGTTGGGATTCTTGAGGTCCACAAACCGGCTTGACCCGCTGTTTTGGTCAAGACTCCAGTTTTGGCACTCATAGCATCAGCATCAGCCTGGCTGCCTGTGCCTGCATGGTCTTGCTATTTTTTAAAACTATACAATGCCGATCATGACTGGGTCATTCATGGTCATCTCCTCAGCACCCCAGCAGCTTCGATTCCAAACTCGCTTCCAAGTGTCATGAGCCCAAGCAGCTCGAAGAGCGGTGTCGGATGGACCGCGTCCTGGCCCCGACCGTGTCACGACGGCGACAAGGCAGCGAGGATGCCTGGCGTTCGACGGGTCGTGGACGCCGGACTCTAGGCGGTTTGAACACCGCCAGAAGGCCTTCCAAGAGCATTTGGTGGAACTGGTTTGAGAAAATCATGTGCAATCCTTATAAAAGTATAAAGCAAGATACACAAAGGTTGTTCGGGATTCAGCCAATTAGATTGATGGTGGTTACAATCCTAGAAAAACATGTGATGGCCATCTATGACCAGCACTTGGGTTGCATTGTTCGCCTTACTCATTACAGGCTTGCTATTGCCAAGAATGGCGGCTATTCGCTACATCACCTTGTGAAGATGCGTCTATGACGTATATTTCTGGAAAACCAGCTGCAAGAACTGCTGCGTTTGCCCGCGGCAAACCATGACACACAGCGGCTCTGCGGCGCACTAAGCGGCTCCAAACGCAGCCTGCAGGGCGATGACCATAAAGGCGTCCACCGCGGCTTCGAAACCTTCCTGATGGCGGCCAGCATGCACCAAGGCCCTGACGAAGGACTGTCAAGGCGGACAGTGAACACTTCGTTTCATGAACAAATGGAAGGACAAAAAGGGCAGGACCACCCATATAGGGGAACATGCTCAGTGCGGAATAGCCCACATTCCATCAATCGCCACCACTTCCGGAACCCCCCAAAAAACCCAACACTCAGGACTAAAGTCGATTTTCTGAGGCCGAAACGAAGTGAACCACGCTTCATCAATTTCCTGGCCCTATGTCTCCC